ATCCGTTTTTCGACATGTTGTCTTCTTTGACCGCCGTACCCTTCATTTTATAGTTGCGTTGTTTCTTTGGACAATGTTGAGCAGTGTGCTTAGGTTCTCCGTAGTATAAACATAATCCTTCTTGACGACGACGAATCTTTTCTTGCTCAATTAGGGGTTTAAAACATACCGTGTCAATTTGCATGTCTTCTACTTCCGAATGTACGTTTGGCGAAGATGTTGATGTTGCCATTGAGTAATAACGTTGAGGTACCCATGTACGACTCTCGAATCGAAATTCAAAAAGTTGATTGTCACATTTTACCGCAAAATCGATTGCTTGACTCAAAGTTTGAGGATCAGGTAAGTTGAGCATCAATTTCTTTACTTCGTATTGCAATCCATAAAGAAATTGACTGATAAGTGCAGCATCATCCCACTTGATGTCAATTGCAAGTTGTCGAAATTGTGAAGCATATATTGTTACTGAGCGGTTTTCTTGTCGTAAAATTTGGATCTTGTTTGTTGCGACACGAGTTGCATCGTGTTCACCATACATAGATCGAAACTTTGCTAAAAAAGCTTCCAAATTATCCAATATTGGATTTCGTTGTTCAAGAAAAGACAAAAACCACGATAATGCAGAACCAGGAAGTAGAGTGCCAATAAACCTGACTTGTGATCCTGGAGCTGGATAGCTTTGCGGTTGAAGTTCAATTGCCAATTGTACTTGATTGATGAACCCTCGAAACTTTGAACTTGTACCATCAAATTTCTCCGGTAAAGCAATTCTTGGTTCTCTACTGCTTTCAGGGTGTTGTACAATTGGAGAAGGAATGTGATTTGGTGTAGATGTTGAAGCAGCTCCGATCATCTCTATATCTCCACTTTCTGCTATTCTTGTTCTTTCCTGTGTTGGTGAATTGAGTTGATGCATCGCAAGCATTAACTCCCTCAATTGTTCTTGCATTTGTGCCATTGCACTCTTTATTTCAACAAGCTCTGCCATAATGATACTAAGAAGAAAATTTTGTCTGATATTGCTCAAGACAAAAGAAAAAGAAAAGACTTGATAAAGAAGATACTAAGAACAATATCAGTTTAGAAGTGGGTAATCCGCAAACTTCTAATACGCTTATGTCTTGTCAAGAGAAGGGGGTAATCCACTCTTACTTAAGAAAAACAAAGCTCTGATATTGTAAGTGCACTCTTGTCAATCTGTCAAGGACAAGAACTCGATAAAAAAATAATTCAAACAAGTGAGCATTCACTCAAAGAGAGGTAACAAAATATATATAAACAAGTATATATATTGAAAGAGAAACTGGAATGGCTATTGCCAAAAGACAAGAAAACTAGAGACCCTTGAAACAGACTAGAAGCAAGAAAGGAGTTGACAAGAGTGAAGAAGCCTTCACTCTTATCTCTATATATACTCTCTAACTAGGAGCTACGTGGCAACATTCTATAGGACCTCCAATATGTGTTGATTTTGTAGGGCACATGCCTTGACTTACAAGGCAAGTTTTTCTATATGTGGGCCACATAGTTAGCTTGATCTTCAAGCTAACAACATGTGTGGCACATGGCCAACTTGTTGACCACGTTTCTAATCCAAAAAATCAATTAAAGACACCTATGAAGTCAAAGCAACGTCTAGGAAATTTCTAGGAAGCTTCTATATTAAATATTATAGAATTAACTTACTTTTACCTACTTTTACTTACTTTTACTTATTTCTATATGTAATTATTAGCTTACATGATTATGGCCGTGATACTAGGATCATGAAAATTGGATTTTTATATCTAGTAAGGTCATTTAAGATGTGCAATAATTTGCTAATTGGATTGAGGTGATTTTTATTAGAGCTAATAGTTGACTTAACTTTCAACACTTGTGCATAATTTGCGAGCAATTTAATGGTTCAATTATAAGTTATTACTACTAGAAGATCAATATTAAGATCAAAGATAGAGGTTAGCTGATATCTAAATGGATTATAATATTTTTCTCCTATTTTATAATTTTTTATTCTCTTCAAATTTATTATACTTCTTATTAATTATGAGATTGAAAAGTGTGTAAAATTTTAAGTAAGATCAATGGTTTAGTCAATAGATGTAAAGGTTTTAAAACTACTTTAGGATTAGTTTGAATTGATTAGATTTTGGTTAAAATTTGCTTTATGGTTTAGGATTTGATTAGGATTTGATTTAGAATTTAGGATTTGATTAGGATTAATTTAGGATTTATAACTTAATTTGATTTAGTTTAGAATTTAGAATTTCTTTGAAATTCTTTAGGATTTCTTTAAGACTCTAAGATTACACAGTATTGAAGATGTTGATAACCGCATAGACCTATTCCAAGTTCAACTATTCAAATTCATCGTCTACTTGTACTTACAATGCTATGCAATTGTATTAATGTTCTATTTGAAGGTATAGATTTATTTTTTTTGCTACTACTAATAGAATTGTTAATTACATTGCTAAAAAGTCACTTTGGTTCTTATTTGAATAAGTTAACTTATACTCTAATATCAACAATTCAAAGTCAAATACACATTATCAAAAGCCATATATGAGGTGCTTAGTAGTATACTTATTAGGCCAACCTAATATGGTAATTAATATAGAAGAGGATCCGTTGTAAATAGCAAATTGTTGCAATTTGTAAATCTTAAAACAAAGAATCACTTTGTTGTTTGTACTTATGGATATTAATGACCAAACTTGTCATTATAATGAACATGCAACTTCAAAGTGATTTAATCTTGCAATCATTTGCTAAATGATTACTCTCTATGGGAAATGGTTGTACACTTGATGTCCATAGAGTAGCTAGCATTGTAGATAAAAACGTGGTAACAATAGTTGATTAAATGATTATATTATTTATAAAAAATAAGTTTTCTATTACATAAAAAATTCTTATTAATTATATATTTTTTTCTTTAATTATATATTATATAACATAGGAGTATATAGATGGATATGCTATTTTGATGTCAAAAAATATCTTCGTCAATCAAATCAATGCTATCATTGAGAATCACATTCTAAGCTGTAAATACATATTTTTATTAACAAACATTGATTCTTCTTAAGATGACCAAAAAATAATGTATAGAGTTGAGTTTTTAAATACCATTATGACTATTAGTATTTTGTCCCACTATTTGGCATTGAAAATTGGAATTCTTATCATATTATTGAATAATTTAGATCTAATAGGTGGTCTTTGCAATGAGATACATATAGTTATCTAACAATTTGCCTATTAATTTTTTATTGTGTAGATTAGCATGGACACTTATGTTGAGAATTTGGTAGCCATACCTAAAATCACAATCACAATGAATACCATATATTGGCCATTTATGCTTGTGTATAGGCAATTCCTCCTTGAACTTAGTTTTGCAATGGCCATAAATAAAGCACAAGCACAAACTATGAGTACTATTGGTCTCCAACTATTCTACTTTATATTCATTCATAAAAAATTATATATGGGACTATCATGTGCAAGAAATTCAAGTATGGTGTTTGTGAGTTTTCTACTTGAGTAATAGACAACAAATGTAGTATATGATAAATTATTGAGATGATGTTGGTTAAGATATGAAGGCTTATAATAGTTTGAAAGACTTAAAATTCTTAGCATTAAGCCTAAAATAGCTACTATTATTGCAATCTTTTCATGGTAGTGGATGTTTAAACTAAAGTAATTAACAAAGAATTGTATAGCAAAACAACAAAGTATTGGCAAATTGTATTGCAAAATAACAAAGGATGTATCATTATTTTTATTTTTTATTTTTTATTTAGTTTTTATATTACTGATATTTTATATTTTATATTTGATTATAAAGACAAATATATTTAATCTTATATAAAAAAATTATATAAATTTTATAGCATCAAGGACTAATTTGAAATTGTTCCTCTTGGTGAAATGATGTCATCTTAATTATATCAACAATTATTCTTTGATATTATACAATTCAAATTAATTTTTTTATGAAAGTAGGAAGCACTAATTGATTGCTAAGATATGTTGTGTTTTGACATATATTACTTTTTTTAATATCAAATTATAAACTAACCTCTTAATATCTTAAAACTTTTGTAGGAAGCTCTTCATTGTAATTTCATTTGATTTCATTGCAACTTCATGTTGGATATTATTTAACTTTGTATTTTTTTTATTTTTATTTATTTTTATATCTTTTTTTCATTTTCATTAGCATTCAAACATTAACATGTTATCCAAACTTCTGAAAATCCATGCAATTCTTGATAATCTCATAGTTTATGAAATTTTATGAAATTTTTATATTTATATACTTTTGGTATATTCACTAGACAAAATTTATTTAAATCAAAATTATACTTGACATTGGCAAAGCCAATGGATTTAACAACTTGTATATAAATAAATGAATATATATATATATATATATATATATATATATATCAAAAGAGAATAAGTATGGTTAATGCCACTACAACTTACCATCTACTACTTCTATTATAATTTATGCTACTACTACCATAATTTATTCTCATTCACTTTTAAATTTAAAAAATAAAATAAACTTTCATAATATTTGAAATATAAAATATACTAGAAATATTTATAATTTTTTATTTGAATAAAAAAAACTAAAGAAATATATCAAATAGGTAATAAGTTACAATGACAATAACAAAAACTTTGGTGGTATTCACAATACCTTATATATGTACACACACATAATTACCTCTTTGTTAATTAGTATCATTTGCTACAAGAAAATTTATTAGTTATCAAAAATGATTAATTATTAAATAAAATAAAATAAAATGGAAAGCTTTGTTAAAAAGATACTTATCCTTGTTAATTATTCAAGGTCAATTAATTATTAGATATAAAAGATTGTTATATATACACCATGGATTGGAGTCAATTTCCAAACTTTTGACTCAAGAAGGGATATATATATATATATATATATATAATGTGTGGAACATGTATACATTCTTCCTCAATACTTTCCAAAGAGTGAGTCTTACAATGCTGGGACATGTTTAGAAGAGCTGAGTGTGTATGACTTTTCTTGGCTTCCGATCATTATCATTACATATCTCCAAGCTTTTTATTTTTTTATTTTTTATTTTTTAAATAACTCTCTGAAAGAAACTAGAGATACCCCGTCCATACTAAATGCTAATGAAGTAACTGGCCGTTTGTTAGATCCCAAAACAACTCATGTTTAAAACTCGTACTCGTTGATCTCAGCAAGCCACAATTGAAAAGAGATTTTGAACAATCAATACATGAGCTAAATCATGAAAATAACAAAAATAGTTTATGACTATACATGTGCCCAATAAGAGCGGTATCGGTGCCAAGAACGCCATCGGTGAGAATCCCAGACGTGATAGGTACCCCAAAATTCGAAGCAGTGATAAAAATTCTGCCGTCTGCTCCTCCGGCATACAATCCATACTCTCCAGGGTCCAGAGTAACAGCATTTAAAGCTGTCGAAAAGATTACTGACCTTAATAGAGTTCCCAAGGCAAGGCTCCAGATCTGAAAATCAACAATCCCATTTCAGTGTCTTGAAAATTACAATACAGTTTCAATACAAGAGAATAACTAACTCTTTAGGGCTATTCTTAGTGTGTACAAATTGTGGTCCTCTTCAACATAGCGCAGCCGTAATCTTCCAAGCACATTCGCAAGGGTTAAATTTTTAACTATTTTAAAAAGTTGGAAAAATTCTACAGGGATCAAAGCCTTGATAAATTAAGAATATTCCCAAGATGCGGAAGAAGATCGTGAAGTAATACGCGGTCACCTTGCATGTATGTTCCAAAGAACAAGAAACAACAATGACACTAGAGTCGCCAGAGCCTGCAAGAAGCCCCGTTACAAGCAAGGTGTGATCAGACCACCCATACATGGCAGCGACCTGTCCCTCTGCTCCTTGACCATCATCTTCCGTATCCAAAACCCTGCACACAGAGCATACACGCAATTAACCTCAGCAGTAGAGTTACGATCAGCACCACGAGGTTCCTGTACGAGACAACCTGTCAACCAGACTAAACAATTCATACTTACAAGGGTTTAGGGTTTGAATGAGAAGATTTACATGTAGGCATACACAACTGAAAAACAGAACAGAAACTTATTGTGTAATTGAACAGAGATTCCTGAAGTGATTCAATCTAAGCGCATAAACACTTGCTGAACCTTACAGTCAAAGTAAAGAACCTGAGAAGTGGCCAAACATTGGTAAGGCCGTCATCGGCTCCAGAAATCAGCAACGAGGCGTCGTCAGAGACAACCCACGTTTTTGTGGTGGCCTGGCCTGAGCCTTAGCAATCGACCAGTCGCCACCTATCCACCATTACCAGAGAGAATCAGCACAACCTGAGTAGATGTATCATGAAAAGAAAAAACCTTTAGAATATCTGCTGCAGACATTAAACAACATCACGTCCTTCACTGTTATGCTTATCACGTCCACAACTCACCTCCCAGAAATAGACTCGGCCAGACGCACCACCGCCAGCAAGGTAGGCTCCATCGCTGGTGCATGCGAGAGGACCAATAGATTCCAACGGGTAACTCTTGAATGCTACCAGGTTCTGTCTCCAGCCACAAATATGCAAGTTAGACACGTTATTCTATCGCATCACTTCACAATCAATCCTCCTGTGGGCAGAGTGTCTACACAAGTTCCCAGTGCTGCATTGTTGTTCGACACGGATTGAAGACCAATGTATTGTTAAACAATGTGAGGTGCACAGAGGTTCAATACTGTTGGAAACAATATTATTATTAATATGATCAATTGATACACAAATATATTGTGTGTACAAGGGTGACACCAAGAGTCGCAACTCTTGGTATAAGGTCAATACACAGTAGATAGTATTCTACACAGGAGACTAGTGTACTATATAGTATAATTCTCCCAATACTTCCACTAGTATACTAATCTTCATCCTTGAATTGAATTTCATCCATAGCAAAAGTTCATCCATTTTAAAAACAAATATGTGTGAGAAATATAGGGTTTCAATCTCCTTTTTGGTGTTACATTGTTGGGAAGCTCTTTTGCAGCTCTGCCACTACTTCTTCAAATTTGAGAAGGTATGTGTTTCTTTATTGACTTGTGTTTGCTTGTTGCTTCTTTGTCTATTGTCCACACATTTCTTGTTTTTTTTTTTTTTTTTTTTTTTTGTTATTTCTTGATTGTTCTATTGTTGGAGGAGGTGTTGTCAAGGAAAAGAGAGTTTGCCTTGAGAAAGTGCTGGGCTTTTGGCTAACACTAAATTCTCAATTAATCATAAGATGAAAAATTCTACAAGATTATTTATAATTTTGTTTTTATTCCTTTCCATGATATTAAACATAGTAGCAATAAACATCAAATGCCAAGCCTCTAGTAATAGTAAAAGTTATAATAGTAAATAAAAATTACCAAACCTCTAGTAATAATAAAAGTAGCAATAAATAATAATTACCATACCTCTAGTAATAGTAAAAGTTATAGCAGTAAATAATAATTACCGAGTCTCCAATAATAGTAAAAGTTGTAGCAGTAAATAATAATTATCAAACCTCCAGTAATAGTAAAATCAATCAATAATTTCCGTAATTTCCAAAACCATTTTTGTGGTAGTAAAATCCTTGTAATACCAAAATTTCTTCAATACCGAATCCCTTTGATGCACTAAACTTTAAAATTTGATAATACTCAATCTAACCGTTAGATTGAGCTCAAATTTTTAGGAAAGTAAGGCAGTACCCTTCACTCCTTTATATCCAAATTTCAACCGTCGATTCTTTACAAAACTCTAGATAACACAATTTCAATAGCACGGCCTTTACATGTTGACTTACAAACACCTAAATACTGATTTTGCGATTTCTTACAAACCCAACATTCAAATGACAAGAAATTTTTTTTGTATAGCTTCTCAATATTATAACTACACCTTTGGTAAGTTTGAGCCAAAATTCATTCAAAAATGCTCAAAAAAAATGGCTCAATACATAACCATCAATAATTCGGTTCACTTACTTCCTTAATTTGCAAGCTCTGACTTCGACCAGCCATTTCTTCCTCACTTCAAATCTAATTTCATCAAATCATGCACAATAGTTGAAGCCCTTCAAGTCAACTTTCCAGCTCCATCTTCCGATTGTTAAATGCCTTTCTACAACTCTTTGTATGCTTGAAAGAGTGACAATAGGTACAAATTTCACATTTAGACTTTAAACAGCCATACCTCTCTCATTATAGACTCAAAGTTAACAACCCTTTCTTAAAACTTGTAGTCCTTTAAACCAGCTTTCCAATGACACCTTTCATTTTCTAAAAAACCTTCTACAACTTTCTGTATGCTTAAAAGTGTGACAGTTGGTAAACAATTCACACCCTAACTTCAAACAACCTTAACTTCTTCATAACAAACTCAAATATCAAACTTTATACACCAAAATTATAGCCCAAAACACAAGCTTTCTGAGTCTCTCCTCTAAACCCTCAAAAATCCCCCATAGAAGTGGCCTCTCCTTCGGTTTTCTCTCGGACAGTCCCTTGAAGCTCATTGGTCATGACCTATAGCCAATGAGAGTGAAGATCATCTTATCCTTGCCTTATCTATCCACGTAGATGGCCTAAGGCCTCAATACTATAATATCAATATCCATATCTTTCTACATCCTCCATATTAAATACCCTAATACTTCTACTTTTACTTATAAAACTTACACAAGTTTTTTAAGATTTCTATAAACTATGAAATTCTATAGAAAATAATTCATTATTTTCTAAGGTTATTATTAAATAACATCAATATAATAACCATTATTTTTACACTATGAATAAATTACAACACAACAACGTTGTGAATACATGTGTAATAGCAAATTCCAAAAGAGGCATCTCCATAGAGTCGGCCATAGATGCAATTCCCTTGATAGTAAGCTCTGAAGTAAGTCCATTGGCGAGATCCAAAATAAGCGCAATAGAGAGCTCTGCAGCAAGCTTGATGGCAAGCCATCTAATATGCTTGGCTACGGGCTCTACAACGGGCTTTGCAATAAGCTAAATTGGGGGCTCTGCAATAAGACCTATAGTTGGCCATGCACTTGGTCCTCCAGCTGGCCTTGTAGTACATCTTACAGTTGGCCTTGTGGTGGACTCTGAAGTAAGTTTTGCTGTAAGATTTGCAAAGGGTTGTGTAGTAGACTCTACAGCAATCTTGACTAGGAACCATGCACCAGGCCTACAAAGGGTCTGATTTTTCTCCTAGAAGTATAAATAGATAGATTTACTTTAGTATTTTGGTATGTCATGGATTTGGAGTAATTTATCTTACTAGATTATCTTCCACTCCATGATGTATTAAAATATTTATATTGTGTAAAATTGTATTGTTTGGAGTAGACTAGTAATACTTGAATGATTATAGAACAATTTACTTGTTCTGTATTTAAAGGAAGTTGATACTTGCCTAATTGTAATAGGCATTGTAAATGTTTGTCTTTAGGAAGAGATTTTGTAAATATGTTTGCTGTCATATGTGTGGTTGGCATATATTGTACTTTGATTTCTTTGAAAAGAATCTTTTCTTTAGTAAAATGGTATTGTATATCCACATGTTTGCTCTTAGAGTGATATTTGAGATTTTTACTAAAAGTAATGGCACTTTGGCTATTTGAATATATGATAGTTGGTGCATGTTGAAGGAATTTAAGTTCATGTAATAATTTTTTCCACCATATGGCCTCAGTTGTTGCTTTTGTTAAAGCCATGTATTCTGATTTTGTAGAAGATAAAACAACAAATTTTTATTTCTTGTTGCCCCAAGAGATAACTCCTCCAAAGAGTAAGAAGCAAAATCTAGAGGTAGAAAAATGGATGTTTTTATTACTTGCCTAGTTAGTATCAAAATAACTATGGAAAATATCACTTGGAGGTAAGTATTGATATTTTATTCTAAAATTTAATGTACCTTTTATATATCTCATAGTTCTTTTCAAAGTTTGAATATATGTAAGTCCTTGTTTAGAGAGATATTATGCTAAATTATTGATAACATAAGCACAATCAGGTCTAAAATTAACAATGGTATACATTAAATTGCCAACAACTTGAAAATAAGAATAATCATGGAAAGTAATATGGTCTTCATTACTTAAATTAATTTCTAGTCAAATTGAAGTACTTAATGGATTAGAATTCAACATATTGAATTTATTAAATTTATTTGTTAAGTATTTGGCTTGATGGAGGATGATCCAACATCCTTTTCTATTTCTTAGTATGGCATTGCTTAAAGTGTAATAGATTTCTCCTTCATTGGACATGTCAAATTCTTGCTAGAGAATGTCTTTGATTTGTTAAATTAAAGAAAGCTTGTTGTTGATAAGAATATAGTCATCAATATAAATTGTAATTATGATAAAATCCTTATTATTTTCTCTTTTGATGTATATGTTTGCATTTGATTCAAGACATTGGTATTTGTGAAGGATTAAGTATTGATCTAATTATTGATACCATACCCTAGATGATAATTTAAAATCATATAGGAATTTATTTAACTTACATATATTTTTAAATTAAATTCCTATATGTGTAGAATGGACTTTATCATCTTCAAGAATTAAGATCTCTTGATCATTTAAAAATGATAGTTGAGAGAAGTTTTCTATGACATCAAGGTGAGAAGAGGGTTGTTCTCCCATATTTGAAGAAGTACTATGTATTGGTTGTTGATCAAATATATGTATTTCTTGTGGTTGTTGCATTGGTAGAGAAGACATGTCTTGAAGATGAGGTATGTTTTGCTCATTGGTCTTTATAGTTATTAAAGGATGTTTGAATAATTCTAAATCTAACAAGAGTTTTTCATTGTCTTTTTGCAAGTATGTGGTTGTTTTTCAATCATATAGATTTTCATTGAAGATAACACCATTTGAAATAAAAATTTGCTGATTTTGTGTATTCATAAGTCTATAGGCTTTAGATTCTTCACTATAGCCTAGAAAGATAGCTGCTTATGAATTAGAGGCTATGTCTAACTTCTTTCTTGTTTCTTTAGGAATGAATATATGAGCTTTGTAACCAAATACTTTAAAATAGGATAAATTTCATTATCATTTGTACCATAATTCAAATGATATTTTGGTAACTTATATAAATTTTGTAAGAGTCTATTTTGGACATAATTTATTGCTTGAAGTACTTAAGCCTAAAAATATTTAAGTAAGTTTGAATATGATAGCATTGCAAGCACTAATCCTATTAATGTCTCACGAAAATATACATTTATCTCAATAATTACTTATAAGATTACATAGAAGTAGGTAAATATATATTAATTTCACAAAGTCTTTCAATAAAGCTTCCTAGAAGCTTCATAGATATGATTTTGACTTTAGATGTATTTGTAGGTTGAAAACTTGGCGAACAAGTTAACCATGTGTTGGTAGCTTATGGAACAAGCTAACTATATGGCGCATACATAAATAACTTACCCTGCAAGTTAAAACATGTGGCTAGCAAAGTAAACATGTTTTGGAGGTCCTATAGGATATTGTCATGTAGCTCCTAATTAAGAGTATATATGGAGGCAAAAATGAAGCCTTCTTCACTCTTATCAATGCCGTTTTAGTCCTTAGCCTTGTTTTAAGACTTTTGAGTCTTCTTGTTTTTGGCAATAACCATTTTAGTTAATATTACATTACCTTTACAGTGATTTTCTAGTTCTCTTCAATGATATAAGAATGTATCAAGGATTCTCTTTGTTTAAGATTCATGTTCTTGACAGTATGACAAGAGTACTAATATATTATTTTTGCCTTGTTTTAGAGGTGAGTGGATTAACCCACTTCTATTATTATATTTTAAAGGTTGAAGACTATCCACTTTTTAAACAAAATCTACTCTCTTTAAGAAAATACTTTTCTAACACTGATCTTTTTTTAAAGAAAGTAGATTATCCCTCTTTGTGGAAGTTTTATTAGAGGTTATAGATTACCTTCCTCTAATTTAACTTTTTTGAATTTTTTTGAGTTGCATATGGAAGGAAAAATTATGGATGCTATTCCTAGCAAAAGTGAGAATAGATTTGTAACTACTGTAGATCTTTATGAGCTTGTTAATATTCTTAAAATAGAAATCTTATATATTTCTAATATGAATCATTGAGGTACTATGCCTACGCCTATGAAAGAAGTTCAGAGTTTATAACAAGAAGTTGTGCAATTTAAAGAAGTAAGTAGATTGACCTCAAAACCAAATCTAGGGAGTTTTGCTTCTACAAGTATGACATGAGTAAATATTAATATGTTTGAGAAGTTTCATGGAACAAGATCAAAATTTTGAAGATTCTTGCAACAAGTCAAGCTCTATCTAAGGTTGCATCTTTTTCAATATCCTCATGGATTTACTCAAGTTGGATTCATAGGCGCACTTCTATCAAGAAGTGCTCTCTCTTAATTTGCACCTTTAACTGAAAAAGATTTACAACTCCTTTATGATTTGAATTCATTCCTAAAAGTATTTATAGCCACATTTGGAAAAAATGATAACAAATAAGTAGTAGAGACTAAACTCTTATCTTTATGATAAGAATCACGATCAGCCACCACATATGCTGTTGAATTCCAAAACCTTTCTCGCAACATGGATTGGAATGATAAAGCACTTATCAATCAATTTTGATATAGATTGAAGGACATTGTCAAAGATTTTTTTATTAATACTACCGAAAGTAGAATCTTTGAAATAATTTATTACTCAAGCCAATACTGTCAAGGACAAGAACTCGATAGAAAGGCAATTTAGATAAGTGAGCCTTCACTCAAAAGAAGATAACAAAATATAAATAAACAAGTATGTATATTGAAAGAGAAACTGGAATGGCTATTGCCAAAAGACAAGAAAACTAGAGACCCTTGAAACTAGACTAAAAGCAAGAAAGGAGTTGACAAGAGTGAAGAAGGCTTCGCTTTTGTCTCTATATATACTATCTAATTAGGGACTATGTGGTGATATTCTATAGGACCTCCAATATGTATTGACTTTATAGGACACATGCGTTG